GGAATTAGGCGGCAAATTGTGGTACCATATCATTGCTCCTTTTGACAAGGTTTCTCCAAATTTCTTCAGTAGAACAGATTCAATCTCATCGTCTTCTAAGTCATTTCCCTTTATTGTGCATGTATAAGAAGTGATATGCTCATTAGAGTCAGTGGTCCCGTTGTACTTGGAAATTTCTAGCGTTCGGAATTTCTTCGGAATGGGTTTTGGTGCCGCACTCGGAGGGAAAGGCTTCTGTACAAATTTCTTTGAATCCATACCTTTTAGAATCGGCGGCGCCCCCACTATTTGGTCAACCCGGGAGTTGTATGTCTCTTCTTTCTTGTCATTTGCCTCGATTTTCTTTTCTCCCGATTCAATCCGTTAGTGAGCTCCTCGAACATTTTCATAATGGCGGGGTCAGTCCCCGATTCGTTGGCATTCGACCTTTTCGGCACATGCTCGGTCCTTTGAACGACTTTTGGTTTGATCCTAGTCGGTGCTCGGTGTTTATTTTGTAGTTGTACTATAGCGGCCTATTGAGCCTGTAATATTTCGAATATCAATTGGAAGCTAACTTCACCATCTTCTCCTCCCTGCGTACCTCGACCACCTGATCGAACTTCCCTGTGCATACTACCTTCGGGCTCAACGTCCAAATTTGCATTTAGGGCGACATGTGAACTAACATCGACGGGATTTGCAATTGGTGCTCCCTCGAGGTCGGCCTGAGGCACCTCGATTCCTGAGGCGGTTGTGTTGTCGCTTTCCCCGTAAAATCCAAGGCTGTTGTCACTATGTGTAGGTGCTGCTTGTGAGTTTGACATGTTTGTCCTGAAAATAAAGATTCTTACGAGAACAAGTGTAAAGTAGTGTGTGTTATTGAAATTAGTATTAAGCAATAACTATGATCCTTAGCCCCACGGTGGGCGCCAAACTGTTTACCTTTAAAATTGGATAACAATTAAACTTATAATGTGGATTTAAGGATACGTGACTTCACTTAATACCAATTGATAAATATGAAGGTTAATGACAGAATTGTACAATAAAGTAAATCAAACCAGTGTTTGAATAGAACTCAACCCTTGAGTTAGAGTATCCTCGAACCGGTTGATGCAAGGACAATAAAAATACAATAAGCTGAAGAACAAGAGCGTGAGCGAAAAAGAAAATTATATTGCTTTCGTATCAGTTGTGTCTTTACAAATGGATAGAACTCCCCTTTATATAGTAGAGGAATTCTATATATGGTATAATTCTAATTACAGAAGGAAATCCCATGATAAACTAAACAACTGTTCTTGATTCGATCCGTTCCGAGATTTCCATCATGATCTTCGACCAGTCGCGGATATCTCGCTTTTCCGTTATTACGCTATCTTCGGTATTGCTCGATGCCTGTCTTGTTCGGTCTCGATTGTTGTCGGACTCGATCTGGCAGGTGTCTCGAATCCCGAGCTCGGTACGTTGTCTTCGTGCCTTGACCCGATCCACTTCGGGGTTGACCTTCGATGCAACTTATTGGTCTCGGTCAGCATAGAAAAATCGAGTGGGCCTAATTTTAACCGTATACACATATTACGACACCAGATCTCTGTGAAGTTTGAACAATGAAAAAATCCAAACTAAGTGCAGTGTAACTAACACGCGGTTAGTGCTCAAGCAAGTATATTTATGAATTTGGGGAGTTAATGACGTGGTGTCTTTAAAGGAAAAAGTGAGTCACATAAAAGTTAGTTTGGATAAAGACATATTACGAAGGCGAAAACGCAGCTTGCGCTTCTTTCAAGTACTTTTGAAATCCTAAACAAACGTGTCATGCCATCCTACAAGTTAGCCATTCATGCAAATCAGCTCTTTATAATCCATTTCAGTCTCATATATACTCAAAGTAATAATATATTGATCTCTCATTTTTGTTACACACAAAAACAGATCTAAAGCAGAGTACTCGAGCTTTATCAATCCACATATGGATGAGCATAAGGTCGAAACTGAACACACTAGTCAAGTTGAATCTCAATCTTCTAAGAAGAAGGCTCCTCTGAACAAGTATGCTCTCGCTTGCGCCCTTTTGGCCTCCACCAATTCCATCCTCTTGGGATATGGTGAGTCTTCTTTTTTCTATAGCCAGTATCCTTACTTTTCTCATGTGGTTGTACAATCATTTGCTTTAATATTTGTACTACACTATAGTATGAGATATATCGTAACGAGATCTTTGATCTCAAAATATTGAAAATAAAAAGAAATGGTGGTTGGGACATGCAACTAATGACAAGAGGTAATCTTGATTATCTTAATGTTAATATATTGATGGCTCATCCACCCATTACTTGGCTTTAAGAATGTTGCCTCGAGGGGCCGTGGAATGAAACTATGTCTAATAGATGAATTATTGACCAGTTTAATTTGAAAAATTAGTGACTCCTGGCAATTTAATGTTGCAGATATTGGAGTGATGAGTGGAGCTGTGCTTTTCATAAAGGATAATCTTAAGATTTCATCTTCTCAAGTAGAAATCTTGGTGGGGTCATTGAATGTTTGTTCTCTAATTGGATCGTTTGCATCTGGCAAGACTTCAGATATGATTGGTAGAAGATACACAATTATTTTGGCAGCAGCTACTTTCTTGATCGGTGCAGTCCTGATGGGACTGGCTCCTTCTTACCCATTCCTCATGGCAGGAAGGGTAGTCGCCGGAATCGGCGTTGGCTATTCACTGATGATTGCTCCGGTCTATACTGCCGAAGTATCGCCGGCCATGACACGTGGTTTGCTCACATCGCTCCCTGAAGTGTTCATCAATGTTGGTATTTTACTAGGCTATATTTTCAACTATGCACTAGCTGGTTTACCAGCCCACATCAACTGGAGGCTAATGCTTGGAATTGCTGCCGTTCCAGCTATTGGCATTGGCATTGGTGTATTGCAAATGCCAGAATCCCCACGGTGGCTTGTTATGAAAGGACGTATAGAAGAAGCGAAAAGAGTGCTTCGTAAAACCTCAGAGAACGATGATGAGGCCAATTTGAGACTAGAAGAAATAACAAAAGCTGCTTCGCTTGTAGGCCCAAGTCCAAGTGATAGCACAGGATCAATTCCAAGTAAATGGAAAGGCCAAGGGGTTTGGAAAGAACTCCTAAGGCCAAGCAGGCCGCTTCGCCGGATTCTTGTCGCTGCCATCGGTATAAACTTCTTCATGCAAGCTTCCGGAAATGATGCGGTGGTTTACTACACGCCATCCGTGTTTAATGCTGCTGGAATTCACAATCGAAAAGGACTAGTAGGTGTGACTATCCTCATGGGGATAGCCAAGACATCTTTTTGTATTGTATCAGCACTTTTCTTGGATAATTTCGGAAGGCGGCCCATGCTGTTGTTGGGTACAACAGGAATGGCTGTTTCTCTAGCTGGTCTTGGCTTGGGCTCAATGTATCTACACAATTCCCATCATAAGCCACTATGGGCCATCGCATTATGTGTTGTTGCAGTTTGTGCTGATGTGTCATTTTTCTCAATTGGACTTGGGCCAATAACATGGGTCTATTCATCAGAAATATTTCCTATTAGGCTAAGGGCCCAAGGTTCGAGTTTGGCAGTTTCAGTCAACCGGTTGGTAAGTGGGGTGGTGGCAATGACATTTCTAACAATATCAAAAAAGATAACATTTGCAGGAATGTTCTTTGTGCTTTGTGGAATCATGGTATTAGCAACTATCTTCTTTTACTTTTTCTTGCCTGAAACCAAGGGCAAGAGTCTAGAGGAAATTTGGGTAATCTTTGAGAACAAAAAGGACAAGACTCCTTCTCAACCTGATAAAGAAATGACTGAAAGGTTGTAGGTGGGTTTAAGTAGTTGATTTTGAACATGTCCTCAAAGGTAAAATGTTATAGGACATCATTCTTAATACTAGGAGGCTTTTAGAGATGTTTGCTTTAGATATAGGTAATTTGTTTTCTAATTTATCTTCCCGAAAAATGATCGATATTGAGTTCAAATATTAAAGAAGCCCGGACATTATGCATTACCAATTATTAACATATACATGTTAATTCTTTTTTCTTGTGGTGATGGAGAGGTTGGTTTGTGTATACTAGAACATGACAAACATAAAAGAGAGGAAGACCTTATAATTGAGTTGAACTCTAAACCTAAATGGTGCAGCATAGAATGAAAACTATGAAAGTACTAAAAGTTATGAAAGTGCAAGAATGGGTAAGTTAAATTCTTTTTGACTTTTATATCCTTTAGCCAACTACTTAACCAATATAGTTGACTATGGTACTATCTATAAACATAAGTGTGATGCAAAATGATAAATTGCAGTAAAGTAAATTGCAGTAAAGTAAATTGCACAGTGATATTTTTATACTAGTTCGGATTCAATGTGAATTCTAATCTAGTCCTCTTGGGTTGCAAGAGGGTTCTCTGTGATGACTCCTTATTAAAATTGTAATAAAGGGGTTGTGTGACTTCTTCACACTTCACAATCTTTTTTCTCAGATTATTTTCTTAATCTCTGCTTGATAGAGAGATTACACTGAGTAGTCTAAGCAGCTTGTAGTCGACTAGTCTACTGAGTATTTAGCACTTCCACAAAAGAAGTAATTCAGGGTGTTGGAGATGACATCTTTCAGCCTAGTGATGTTTGTTGTCATGGTGACCGAAATCCCATAAATCATGTCATGCACTTTCCCAAATGCACCAACTACCTCTTGCACCATTCCTTCAAAAAAGAATATAAAAAAAAGATAGCATTTACAGGAATGTTCTTTGTGTTTTGTGGAATCATGGTATTAGCAACTATCTTCTTTTATTTTTTCTTTCTTGAAACCAAGGGCAAGAGTCTAGAGGAAATTTGGGTAATCTTTGAGGACAAAAAGGACAAGACTCCTTCTCAACCTGATAAGGAAATGACGGAAAGGTAGTAGGTGGGTTTACGTAACTGATTTTGAACATGTCTTCAAATGCAAAATTTTATAGGACATTATTCGTAATGCAAGGAAGCTTTTAGAGATATTTGCTTTAGATATAGATAATTTATTTTCTCATTTATCTTCCCGAAGAAATGATCGATATTGAGTTCAAATATGAAAGAAGCACGGACATTCATTGTCAATTATTAATATATACATGTTAATTCTTTTTTATTGTGGTGTTGGATAGGTTGGTTTATGTATACTAGAACATGACAAACATAATAGAGAGGAAGACCTTATAATTGAGTTGAACTCTACACCTAAATGGTGCAGGGTAGGATGAAAACTATGAAAGTACTGAAAACTATGAAAGTACAAAAAGGGGTGAATTAAATTCTTTTTAACTTTTATGTCCTTTAGCCAACTACTTAACCAATATAGTTGAATATGGTACTATCCGTAAATATAAGTGCGATGCAAAATGATAAATTGCAGTAAAGTAAATTGTACAACGATGTTTTTATACTAGTTCAAATTTAATGTAAATTCTTGTCTAGTCCTCTTGGGTTGCAAGAGAGTTCATTACTTAACCAATATAGTTGACTATGGTACTATTTGTAAATATAAGTGCAATAAAAATGATAAATTGCAATAAAGTAAATTGAACAACGATATTTTTATACTAGTTCAAATTCAATGTAAATTCTTGTCTAGTCCCCTTGGGTTGCAAAAGTGCTCTCTGTGATGGCTCCTTATTAAAATTGTTATAAAGAGGTTGTGTGACTTCTTTACACTTCACAATCTTTTTTTTGAGATTATTTCCTTAATATCTGCTTGACAGAGAGATGACAACCCAAGAGATTTGATCCTTGAAAGATATTCCAAGAATAAAGTTGGGAGCCTTCCAAGATACAGCTTGATTATCGCATATATGATTTCTTTGTGGTTTGCTTTGATTTAGAATAATCTTAGTCAAAAACCCCATCAAGTGTTTGATTTGTGCTTGCGAGATTCCTCATTAGTTGAATCACCAAAATTGATTCTTCTTTCCTTGTAAGTCGCTATCTTCCAACTCTGGATTGATTCTTCTTTCCTTGTAATCTTTTTGTCTTCCTTTTCCTTATGTGTCCATTATCCTTCTTTTCGTTTTTCTTTTTGTGCAAGTATATTTACCTTCATCAGTATAATTCTGCAATTTCACAAGTGAAGTCATCAATAAAGCAAGGCTAACAATCTGTCCCTTTTTGATAATGATAAGTAGAACATTAATTAGTGATCAACTTATGCTACTTCCCTGATATGAGCTTGGGGATTCTCTCCCCCTGTGTATGTGCTCTCCCTGGATTGATGTTCCTACTGATATAGATATAAATTCTTCTTCCCCTTTGGCATCAGCAAGAAGAAAAACATAGAAGAGACAATAATATAAGTAGATAAATAGTCGACTTAACCATGGGAGCAGTCAACTTAAGTAGGTAAGTAAGATCATGCAAAATATAAGTCTAAGCAGCTTGTAGTCGACTAGTCTACTGAGTGTTTAGCACGTCCACAAAATAAACTAAAAATAAATATTGTTTAAAATAACCACATGAAATTAACAAAGGAAGTAATTGAGGGTGTTGCAGATGACATCTTTCAGCATAATGAAGTTTGTTGTCATGGTGACTGAAATCTCATCAATCGTGTCATGCACTTCCCTGAATGCAGAAACTTCCTCTTGCGCCATTCGTTCAAAAAGGAAAATCAAAAAATATAACATTTGCATGAATGTTCTTTGTGCTTTGTGGAATCATGGTATTAACAACTATCTTCTTTTACTTTTTCTTACCTAAAACCAAGGGCAAGAGTCTATAGAAAATTTTGGTAATCTTTGAGGACAAAAAAGGACAAGACTCCTTCTCAAGCTGATAAGGAAATGACTGAAAGGTAGTAGGTGGGTTTAAGTAGTTGATTTTGAACGTGTCCTCAAATGCAAAATGCTATAGGACATCATTCTTAATACAAGGAAGCTTTTAGAGATGTTTGCTTTATATATTGGTAATTTGTTTTCCCATTTATCTTCCCGAAGAAATGATCGATATTGAGTTCAAATATGAAAGAAGCCCGGATATTATGCATTTTCAATTATTAATATATACATTTCAATTCTTTTTTCTTGTGGTGATGGAGAGGTTGGTTTGTGTATACTAGAACATGACAAACATAAAAGAGAGGAAGACCTTATAATTGAGTTGAACTCTAAACCTAAATGGTGCAGCATAGAATGAAAACTATGAAAGTACTAAAAGTTATGAAAGTGCAAGAAGGGGTAAGTTAAATTCTTTTTGACTTTTATATCCTTTAGCCAACTACTTAACCAATATAGTTGACTATGATATATCTGTAAATATAAGTGCGATGCAAAATGATAAATTACAGTAAAGTAAATTGCACAACGATATTTTTATACTAGTTAAGATTCAATGTGAATTATAGTCTAGTCTTCTTGGGTTACAAGAGGGTTCTCTGCGATGGCTCCTTATTAAAATTATTATAAAGGGGTTCTGTAATTTCTTCACACTTCACATTCTTTTTTCTCAGATTATTTTCTTAATCTATGCTTGACAGAGAGATGACAACTCAAGAGATTTGATCATTGGAAGATATTCCAAGAATAAAGTTGGGAGACTTCCAAGATACTGCTTGATTATCGCATATATGCTTTTTTTTGTGGTTTGCTTTGATTTAGGACATTCTTAGTGAAAAACCCCATCAAGTGTTTGATTTGTGCTGGCGAGATTCCTCATTGGTTTAATCACCATAATTGATTCTTCTTTTCTTGCAAGCCGCTATCTTCCAACTCTCGATTGATTCTTCTTTCCTTGTAATTTGTTGTCTTCTTTTTCCTTATGCATCCGTTATCCTTTTTTTTTTCTTTTTGCGCAAGTATATTTACCTTCATCAGTGTAATTCTGCAATTGCACAAGTGAAGTCATCAATAAAACAAGGCAATTAGTCTCTCCCTTTTTGATAATGATAAGTAGAACATTAATTAATGATCAACTTATGCTACTTCCCTGATAGAAGCTTGTGTATTTTCTCCCCCAGAGAATGTTCTCTCCTTGGATTGATGTTCCTACTGATATAGATATAGATTCTTCTTCCCCTTTGGCATCAGAATAAAAAAAACATAGATGAGACAATAATATAAGTAGAGAAATAGCGACTTAACCATGGGAGAAGTAAACTTAAGTAGGTAATTAAGATCATGCAAAATATAAGTCTAAGCAGCTAGTAGTCGACTAGTCTACTGAGTGTTTAGCACTTCCACAAAATAGACAAAAAACAAAATATTGTTTAAAACAACCACATGAAATCAACAAAGGAAGTAATTAAGGGTGTTGAATAGGACATCTTTCAGCCTAGTGAAGTTTATTGTCATGATGACCGAAATACCATCAATCATGTCATGCACTTCCCCGAATGCACCAACTGCCTCTTGCGCCATTCGTTCAAAAAAGAATATAGAAAACGATAACATTTGCATGAATATTTTTTGTGCTTTGTGGAATCATTGTATTAGCAACTATCTTATTTTACTTTTTCTTGCCTGAAAATAAGGGCAAGAGTATAGAGGAAATTTGGGTAATCTTTGAGGACAAAAAAGGAAAAGACTCCTTCTCAAGCTAATAAGAAAATGACTGCAAGGTAGTAGGTGGGTTTAAGTAGTTGATTTTGAACAAGTCCTTAAATGCAAAATGTAATAGGACAGCATTCTTAATACAAAGAAGCTTTTAAATATGTTTTCTTTAGATATAGGTAATTTATTTTCTCATTTATCTTCCCGAAGAAATGATCAATATTGAGTTCAAATATGAAAGAAGTCCAGACATTTTGCATTGCCAATTATTAAAATATACATGTTAATTCTTTTTTCTTGTGGTGATGGATAAGTTGGTTTGTGTATACTAGAACATGATAAACATAAAAAAGAGGAAGACCTTATAATTGAGTTGAACTCTACACCTAAATGGTACAGGGTAGAATGAAAACTATGAAATTATAAGAAGAGGTGAATTAAATTATTTTTGACTTTTATGTCTTTTAGCAAACTACTTAACCAATATAGTTGACTATGGTACTATCTGTAAATATAAGTGCGATGCAAAATAATAAATTACAGTAAAGTAAATTGCACAATAATATTTTTATAGTAGTTCAAATTCAATGTAAATTCTAGTCTAGTCCTCTTGGGTTGCAAGAGGGTTCTCTGCGATGGATCCTTATTAAAACTGTTATAAAACGGTTGTGTGACTTCTTCACACTTCACAATTATTTTTCTCAGATCATTTCCTTAATCTCTGCTTAACAGAGAGGTTAAAACCCAAGAGATTTGATCTTTGGAAGATATTCCAAGAATAAAGTTGGGAGCCTTCCAAGATACTGCTTGATTATCGCATATATGCTTTCTTTGTGGTTTGCTTTTATTTAGGACATTCTTAGTGAAAAACTCCATCAAGTGTTTGATTTGTGCTGGCGAGATTCCTCATTGGTTGAATCACCATAATTGATTCTTCTTTCCTTGTAAGCCGCTATCTTCCAACTCTCGATTGATTCTTCTTTCCTTGTAATCTGTTGCCTTCCTTTTGCTTATGCGTCAGTTATCCTTCATTTTATTTTTCTTTTTGAGTAAGTATATTTACCTTCATCGGTGTAATCCTGCAATTTCACAAGTAAATTCATCAATAAAACAAGGCTAAAAATCTCTCCCTTTTTTATAATGATAAGTAGAACATTAATTAATGATCAACTTATGCTACTTCCCTGATAGGAGCTTGTGGATTTTCTCCCCCTGAGTATGTGCTCTCCCTGGATTGATGTTCCTACTGATATAGATATAGATTATTCTCCCTCTTTGGCATCAGCAAAAAGAAAAATATAGAAGAAATAATAATATAAGTAGAGAAATAGTCGAATTAACCATGGGGCAGTCAACTAAAGTAGGTATGTAAGATCATGCAAAATGTAAGTCTAAGCAGTTCGTAGTCGACTAGTCTACTGAGTATTTTGTACTTCCACAAAATAAATCAAAAATAAAAATTTTCTTAAAACAACCACATAAAATCAACAAAGGAAGTAATTGAGGGTGTTGCAGATGACATCTTTCAGCCTAGTGAAGTTTGTTGTCATGGTGACCGAAATTCCATCAATCGTGTCATGCACTTCCCCCGAATGCACCAACTGCCTCTTGCGCCATTCGTTCCAGCTTCACGCGAAACTTTGAAAATAAAATATGATTTCCTTTGATGTGTCCTTGATGTCTTCCACCATTTTCTCTTTATCAGCAACAAATTCCTTTATAGAGTCTAACTTTTAATCTATGGCCACCAATCTTGCGGCCAGTTCTTGATCAAGCAAGTGAGAGGTTGACGCTTTTGCCTTGGAGTGATTTGTTGTGGTCTTGCTTTCATTCTCATGCTTTTTAACCCATATTCCTTCTACGGATGTGTACCCCATGCTAGCAAATTCTCTTGAGTTATAGCACTTAGACACCAGAAGGAACGGGAGGTTTGAGAGAGGGATATAATGTGCTCCCAAAAGACGAGTGATAATCATGCCATATGGGGGGCTCGTTATGGTCATCGGCACTTTCGAGCATAAAGTTAATCACCCGAGATATTAGTTTGACTCTGTGTTTACTGAGCTGAGACAGTAGAAAAAGAATATGTTCTGGGAAGAATAGTGGTGGCAACAATATGAGTAAGAATTTTGGTTTCAAAATTGATATCACTAGGACATAACTGATTTGGAACGATTAGTGGATGCTTCAGCAATGCACTTCTTTGCTTGTTCAAATGAAACTTCGAAGTCATTTAGCCAAGAGCTCTTAAACAAGGTAGGGCTATCCGTATCACTTTCAATTGAAGATGGAATCGAAAATAGAGCAATCAAGAACAACGAGTTTTCTAAGAACCAGAGATATGATTTTATCAGGTTTTTGGGATCGACGATTTGCATAGAACATTCGAACAAGATATTCAAAAACTTTGGGATAGGCTTGACTGAGAAAGTTTTTCCAGCATTGAAGTTCGAAAAATTTATTTTCACGATGCAGCTATTTCTTTCCATGACTTCGAGATCAATGATTCTCCCATGTGCAATATGTTTCTCCTTTAATGCAATGGACATGTCTCGATTTGGGGTTCCTAGAAATTAATATCAGATTATACATGCAGTCTAGGTCTGATTTGACCTTCTTCGGAGAGATGGACACACGGTCTTCCATTGGCCCAAGGCTTTGCTTTCGGGGCTTCGAACATCGTTGGAGAGTTCGACTTTTTTCATGATCCAAAATCCCACCGGAACCATGATGGCACCTAACGGGGCTTGTTAGGTAAGTCAAAACCAAATAAGCAGAAATAAACTTGCATGACAATATTAAATAGTATAGTGGAATAACATAAATAACAGAAGTCAATAGCAATAGTACAATCAAAAACCATCCCACGGCCTGATGTCATCGAGTCAGCAACTCTACAAAATTTAAATACAGAGTTTGAACTAAAAATGTAGTATTATTTGAAGGATGGAATAGTAATAACATGAACTATAAGAATAGGGAATTGAAGGACTGGAACAAATAGTAGCTACCTCGAAATCTCCAAAACTGGTACTGATGCCACTCTTTAGAAATCACATCTCCCAGCAGCACCTAGATCTTCACATAAACTACAGAGTGTAGTATGAGTACAACAGACCTCATGTACTCAATAAGTAACGAGCCTAACTTGGGGCTGAAAGTAGTGACGAGCTTTGCAAGGTCCAGTATTCATTTCCAACAACTAATAACAGCAATAATGGTATAATAATAGGAAAAGGAAAAAGTAGCTCAAGTAATATCAAATTTAACTTTTTCTCAATAAGAGGAGAAATAAGCATGCTTTTCAAGAATAGCAATTAAGGAACGAAACGTAATCTTATACCTGCATGACAAGTATACATGTCAAAATCAACAATATCTCAGTTAAATCATAAAGTATATCAAATCTCAGCACATGTATTGCATGGGATAAATACCCTTCAATCATCACACACAACCACACTCAGTACTGTACGGGTGTCTGATACAAGTCCTTTACCAACCACATATATGGTCTGTGTGCCTGCACCCACATGTTAATACCTGATTCTGAAGGGGCGGGTCCTAGCCCAAGTGTTGACCGGATCTACGTCAACGATCAATATCACTTAGCCCAATATGGGGCCTGGCACATGCTTCACCTCATAATCAATACCACTCGACACAATCGGGAACGCACGCGTCACCTCACTATCAGTATCCAATCGACTCTGTAGCCCAAGATTAGTCATCAACCGCTCAAGTGTCAAATGCTCACATCTTACAGTATTCAGCTCAACTTGTATCGCATATATAGGGGTACCCATAACATATGAGATAATATATAAAGAATTCACAGAGATACAGATGTAATACTCGGATGTAATATCATGACTGAGAATATAACTACAATTAAGGCAAATAGCTCAATATAGAAAGAATAACCCTTTTATGTCTCGAAATTATATCACATATCAGTCTGACTAGTGATACCCTACCCAAACGCGTCCACTGTCTTGCGTTCTCAAAGCATAAAAAAATACAGCCTCCAGTTAACCCTTCGAAAACATGGCCTCCAGCATGCGATCGCGATTCACCAACTCCACAGGCTACGTGAACGCGGTCTCCCTCCTTCGAATGCGACGACTAAGCACCTGACCTGTATGGACCCGTAAAACTTTTAACCAAAAACTCGGGGTTTCGTGGCACCAAGATAGATTCCTGTATTACTATAGTAGAAATTCCTAAAGTTTTATGGGGGTTCGGACTTTTTGGATTGAACAGTACCCTACGGACTTAGAGAAAAATGTTTAGCAGATGAACGCGTTTTTGCAGCCCATTATGCGGCCGCATAATCACTCTGCGGACCGCATAATGGCCGCAGAGTGAAGCAGAAAGTTT